ATTATATTAATACACTCATTTTCTTTTCTTTTTCTTTTTTTTAGAGGCAGGGTCTTACTCTGTAGCCCAGGCTACAGTGCAGTGGTGCAATCTTAGCTCACTGCAGCCTCAAACTCCTGGGCTCAAGCGATTTTCCCGCCTCCTGAATAGCTGGGACTACAGGCACACACCACCACACCCGACTAATTTTTGTATTTTTTCTAGAGACAGGGTTTTGCCATGTTGGCAAGGCTGGTCTCGAACTCCTGAGCTCAAGTGGCCCGCTCACCTTGGCCTCCCAAATTGCTAGGATTACTGTGTGAGCCACAGCGCCCGGACCCATTTTCCATTTGAGGAAACTGAGGCAGGGAGTGAGAAGTCACCAAAGACTTCTTCAGAGCTCTGGCCCGTTCCCTCCCAAGAAAGCATCCACTTCCTCCTGGGCCATCTGGTCCTGGACTCCACCCACGCCGGTCCGAGGGCAGGGGTTTGACTGGGGCCTGGAGCCGGGCTGAGTTCAAGCTTAAGGGCAGCAGCAGGCACAGAAAGGCTTGCTGTTAGATGTGGCCCCTGGCAACGCCCCAGTGGGGGCTCCGGGCTCAGTCCTTTGGAGGTGTACGTGCTCCAGAGAGAGTTAGAACGAGTCACAGTCAGTGGGGCCGGATCTGCCCTAGTAGGGTCCAGCAGACAGGAGCGGTGCCCAGCCCACCCCAAAGGAGCCAGCAGGAGGAACTCGATCCCGCTTGTTTTAATGTGGGGAGGGCTGTGTCTGGCCCCATGGGAGGACAGCAGGCAGGGGGCACGCGTGGGCCCATCCCGATGGGGCAGCGGGCAGGGGCATGCGTAGAACCGTCCCGATGGGGGTAGAGAGCAGAAAGCACGCGCGGATCCGCCCAAAAGAGGATAGCGGGCAGGGGCTCGTGTGAATCCACCCCAAAGGGGACAGCGAGCAGGGGCTCTCGTGGACCCGCCCGATGGGAACAGCGGGCTCGGCTCACCATAGCGCAGTGCGCTCCCGCGGGTGCCGCAGCCGCTCGAGTGCGCCCAGCGTGGTGGGCAAAGCGTGGGCCGCGTTTCGCGCCAACAGCGCGATGAGCACGCGCGGCGCCTGCAGGGGCGACTCCGGGCTCCAGCGCTCCTCGGGGAAGTAGGCGTCGGCGCCCGGCTGGCCCCCCGGCGGCAGTGGCGCCAGCAGCAGAAACAGCAGCGCCTGGAGCGACTGCTCGCGCCGCCGGCCGGCGCGTGGGGCCGCCGCCATCGCGCCACGCGTCTCCTTTAAGTCGTTTTTCTGCGGGAGGACTCTGGCCGCGCCTTAAAGGGGTCATTGGGGCCCCGCCCGGCCGCGCGCCTTGAAGGGGAGGAGCGCGCCTGGCGTGAAGTCCAGGCCCCGCCTCCAGACGCTCTCCGAGACCCAAAGCCCGGAGTGACGTCACCTGCAGCCCTACCCAGGACGCCCCGCCCCCGCACCCACGTTAAAGGCACAGAGCGCTCGGAGCGCGTGGAAGGGAGGTTAGGGGTAGCGTTAGGGTTAGGAACCCGTGATTTCTCCAGGTGCGTCCTACCACCGAGACCTCTGCGTGATGCGCCGCCCAACTTCCCCACGTATAAGACCTGGGCTGTGCCACCAGGGGGACTTGGCTACTTAGGACCTGGTTTGGGACCCAAGAGACCTTAGCCTCAGTTTCCTCTGCTGTAACATGGGTTTTGCCATCCTGGTTTTGGACCTCACAGGGATGTCATTGAGGGTTGTGGAGAATAAAGGTCATGACGTCCATAGACCTGGCGTCACATCCAGTCCCCGCCCTGGGCTTACTGTGTGTGAGCCTCAGTCTGTCCATCTATAAAATGAGATCATAGAGACCCTACAGGGTTGGCGTGAAAATGGAGCCAGGGCATGATAATGGACCGTTCTGAGCACAAGCTCTTTCAGAGACAAGGGCCGTGTTTTCATGGAAATGCTACCAAGGGATTGTTTTCCAATACTCTAGTGCCGTATTTTCAAATTGATTGACTTAGTATCACACTTTTTTTTTTTTTTTTTTTTTGAGACAAGACTTGGCTTTGTCACCGGGGCTGGAGTGCAGTGGTGCAACATAGCAAGACCATGCCTCCATTTTTAAAAACAATAAAAACTTTAAAAAATACATCTGAACATTATTATTTTTATTATTTTCACAGAGAGGGTCTTACTCTGTGGCTCAGGCTAGAGTGCAGTGGCATGATCATGGCTCACTGCAGCCTCAACCTCCTGGGCTCAACTGATCCTCCTGCCTCAGCCTCCAAAGTAGCTGGGACTACAAGTGCACTCAACCATGCCCAGTTAACTTTTAAATTTTTTGTAGAGATGGAGTCTCCCTATGTTATCCAGGCTCTTCTCAAACTCCTGGGGAGCTCAAGTAATCCTCCCCCTTCAGCTTCCCAAAGTGCTGGGATTACCAGTGAGCCATCATGCCCGGCTACAACTTAATTTTTAAGAATGATACAGGCCAGGCGCAGCGGCTCACGCCTGTAATCCCAGCATTTTGAGAGGCTGAGACAGGCAGATCACTTGATGTCAGGAGTTCGAGACCAGCCTGGTCAATATAGTAAAGCCCCATCTCTACTTAAAAAAAAAAAAAAAAAAAGAAATTAACCGGTCGTGGTGGCACTTTGCCTGTAATCCCAGCATTTTGAGAGGCTGAGACAGGCAGATCACTTGATGTCAGGAGTTCGAGACCAGCCTGGTCAATATACTGAAGCCCCATCTCTACTAAAAAAAAACAAACAAGAAATTAGCCGGTCATGGTGGCACTTCGCCTGTAAGCCCAGCTACTCAGGAGGCCAAGGCAGGAGAATCACTTGAACCCAGGAGGTGGAGGTTGCAGTGAGCCAAGATCGCACGACTACACTCCAGCCTGGGCGACAAAGTGAGACACCGTCTCAAAAAAAAAAAAAAAAAAAAAAAGTAAAAACAAATTTACATTCTGTGGACTTGACGAGGAAAAGTCTTTTCATGTTAAGTAAGAAAAAGGGGTGACAAGATACATCCCATCCCATCTGGAAGGATTTAGACCCAAGGGCAAACAATGGTTTTCTCAAAAGGGTCAGGATGACGAATTCTTGTAGCTGCAATTGTTCCAGAATTAACATCTACATCCCGTCCAGGGTAAAAGGAAGACAGCTAAAGAAGCCTATGAAGGGCACATGTATTGTGCAAATGTATTTCAGAAGGTGGGGTTGAAGGGAAGTAGGTGGAAAGGTCAGGAATATCTCATTGTCTTGAGGTAGACTGAAAACTCCAGACAGAATGGGAGGAAACGGTCTCCATGGGGTGTGAAAGTCCCTCTGCAAGCTGAACCAAGAATACAGGGGAATCCCTGTGGAACCCACTCCGGAAGCAGCTGCAAGACAGCGGAGAGGCTGCCAGTATCTAGTTAGCAGATGACTTTTCTGGCAAGCAGAGGAAGCCGGTAAAAGCTTGTCTCCCAGCCAGGAAACTTGATACCAAGTTAAGAGTTGGAGCTAGGAAACAAACCCAAAAGGCTCACAGCAAGCAGAGAAAAAAAAAAATCTGTAACCTGTATCACAAAGCCTTCATATCCAGATATAAAGAGTTATTAGATATCAGTAAGAAAAATACAAACACTTCCGAAAAGTAGAAAAAAGCTATGAAAAGGCAATTCACTGAAATTTAAAAAAAAAAAAACTACAAACATGTAAACGGTTAAGCAACATATTTGGATTTTGTTTTTTGAGACAGGGTCTCACTCCCACTGCCCAGGCTGGAGTGCAGTGGTGATTGCACCTTGACTTCCCAGGCTCAGGTAAATCTCCCATCTCAGCCCAGCTTTTATTTATTTATTTATTTATTTATTTGGGCTGATCTCAAACTCCTTGGCTCAAGCATTCCACTTGTTTCAGCATCCCAAAGTTCTGGGATTACAGGCATGAGCCACCACTCCCAGCCGCTAATTTTGTATTTTTCGTAGAGACGAGGTCTCACTATGTTGGCCAGGCTGGTCTTGAACTCCTGAGCTCAAGCGATCTGCCTGCCTCAGTCTCCCAAAGTGCTGGGATTACAGGTGTGTACTACCGCGCCTGGTCATAATAAATTTATTTGTAAGTTCAATTTAGTCAAAGAAATTCAAAATAAAATAATGAGATTTCTGTGTGTGACTAATTGGCATAGCTTTTTTCTTTTTATGAAAAGTCCTAGTGTGTAGTAAGGATTTGGAGGCTGGTCACAGTGCATCACTCCTATAATCCTAGCACTTTGGGAGGCCGAGACAGGAGGATTGCTTGGGTCCAGGAGTTTGAGACCAGCTTGGGCAGCATAGCGAGACCCTGTCTCTATTATTTAAAAAAAAAAAGGCCGGGTGCGGTGGCTCAAGCCTGTAATCCCAGCACTTTGGGAGGCCGAGATGGGCGGATCACGAGGTCAGGAGATCGAGACCATCCTGGCTAACACGGTGAAACCCCGTGTAAAATACAAAAAAAAAACTAGCTGGGCGAGGTGGCAGGTGCCTACTCGGGAGGCTGAGGCAGGAGAATGGCGTAAACCGGGGAGGCGGAGCTTGCAGTGAGCCGAGATTGCACCACTGCACTCCAGCCTGGGAGACAGAGCGAGACTCCGTCTCAGGAAAAAAAAAAAAAATTAGACCAGGTGCAGTGGCTCACACCTGTAATCCCAGCACTTTGGGAGACTGAGGCGGGCAGATCACTTAAGGACAGGAGTTCGAGACCAGCCTGGCCAACATGGTGAAACCCCATCTCTATTAAAAATACAAAAATTAACTGGGCACAATGGCAGGTGCCCGAAATCCCAGCTACTCGAGAGGCTGAGGCAGGAGAATTGATTGAATCCAGGAGGCTGAGGTTGCAGTGAGCCGAGATCCTGCCACTGTACTCCATCCTGGGCAACAGAGCAAGACTCCGTCTCAAAAAAACCCAAAAAATTAAAATAAAGGCTTGGAGAAAATTCACAAATAAATGCTGCTGCTCGGAGTATAAAATGGGACAGTTTTCTGGAGGTGCAGTGGTTACAAAAGCCTAAAGATGGCTCATCTGTTTTGGCCCAGAAATTCCACTTGTAGACATTTATCCAATAGAAACAAGATAGGTGTGGGTGAAGATTCAGCTCTGGAATGTTCCTTGAGAAGGCAGTGGGCAGAGTGGCTGGATCTGGGCACCAGAGCCTGGCTGCCTGGGACAAGTCCCTCCTTCCCGCTCAGCCTCAGTTTCCTCATCTGTATAATGGAAAATGAACAGACATCAAAAATCAGACATGTCAGATGCCTGGCATGTAATAAGTGCTTAAAAAAATCAGAGTTAATAGAAATGTTGGCTGGGCGCAGTGGCTCATGCCTGTAATTCCAGCACTTTGGGAAGCCAAGCCAGGTGCCTGACCTCCCCATCACCTGAGCTGGCCAACATGGTGAAACTTCATCTCTACTAAAAATACAAAAATTAGCTGGGCACGGTGGTGGGCGCCTGTAATCCCAGCTACTCAGGAGGCTGAGGCATGAGAATCGCTTGAACCCGAGAGGCGGAGGTTGCAGTGAGCCGAGATCGCGCCATTGCACTCCAGCCCAGGTGATAAGAGCGAAACTCCATCTCAAAAAATACAAATAAAAATAAAGAAATGTAGGCTGGGCGCAGTGGCTCATGCCTGTAATCCCAGCCCTTTGGGAAGCCGAGGCAGGCAGATCACCTGAGGTCAGGAGTTTGAAACCAGCCTGGCCAACATGGTGAAACTACTAAAAATACAAAAAATTAGCCAGGAGTGGTGGTGGACGCCTGTAATCCCAGCTACTGGGGAGGCTGAGGCAGGAGAATCGCTTGAACCCATGAGGTGAAGGTTACAGTGAGCCAAGATGCTGCCACTGCACTCCAGCCTGGCGACAGAGCGAGACTCCGTCTCAAAAAAGAAAAAGAAAAAAAGAAAGAAAAACAAATCTACAAGCAGTCAAAAGATGAAAGGGTGAAGGATAGGAAGGAAGGTTATCGGAAAAGGAGCTAAAAGCAGCTCCTAAACCTCCCGGACAAAGGTGAGGGGCACCAGGTGAGGCTACCCTGGTAGACAGCCCTCTGTTGAAGTGACAAACACATATACTTTAAATTCTGAGGTTTCCCATTGCGGGATTTGCCCACAGGAACCTGCACTTACAAAAACAAAACAAAACAAAACAAAACAAAAACAAGTATGTACAAGATTATCCCCTGCGGCACTGACTGTTAGTATGGAAGACTAGAAACCAAATGCCCGTTGGTTCTGGTTAGATTCAGGAACCCATCTACAATCCCTCACATCCAGTTGCAAATCCTTAAATATTCTGACACTCAGAAGTTTGTATTTGTTTGTTTTTTTGAGACAGGGTCTCTCTCTGTGGCCCAGGCTAGAGGGCAGTGGTGCCATCGTAGCTCAATGCCGCCTCCATCTCCAGGGCTCAAGCAATCCTCCCACCTTGGCCTCCCGAGTAGCTGGAACTACAGGTGCATTCCACCACACCCAACTAATTTTTTAAATATTTGTAGAGATGGGGTCTTGCTATGTTGTCCAGGCTGGTCTCAAACTCCTAGGCTCAAGCAATCCACCTATCTTGGCCTCCCAGAGTGCTGGGATTACGGGTATGAGCCACTGTGCCTGGCCTTAGAAGTCTTTCTAGAACTGGGCTGGGCATGGTGGCTCACACCTGTAATCCCAGCACTTTGGGAGGCCGAGGTGGGTGGATCACTTCAGGTCAGGAGTTCAAGCCCAGTCTGGCTAACATGGTGAAACCCCATCTCTACTAAAAATACAAAAATTAGCCAGGCATGGTCGCAAGTGCCTGTAATCCTAGCTACTCTGTAGGCTGAGGTGGGAGAATCACTGGAACCCCCGAGGGGGAGGCTGCAGTGAGCTGAGATTGTGCCACTGCACTTCACCCTGGGAAACAGAGTGAGACCCTGTCTCAAAAAAAAAAAAAAAAGTAGTATTTCTAGGACTGTTTAACTATTTATCCAAGTTAGTGTAAATATCAATGAGTTTCTCTGTCCTAGATCAGCTAGGAAGTGTATTAGTTAGCTATTGCTGCATAAAAAAATTGTCCCCCAAATTATGCCCATCTTGCAAGCTCTTGCTGGTGGTAAACCTAAGGCTCCCATCACTACAATTTCCCTTTCCAAGTTGGCAACAGGAAGTAGCCATTGGGAGATGCCCCCTAAATCCTGGAATTAGATGGGATACAAAAGCTGGGTGTGGTGGCTCACATCTGTAATCCCAGCACTTTGGGAGGCTGAGGCAGTCAGATCACCTGAGGTCAGGAGTTTGAGACCAGCCTGGCCAAAATGGTGAAACCCCGTCTCTACTAAAAATACAAAAATTAGCCGGGCATGGTGGCATGTGCCTGTAGTCCCAGCTACTCGGGAGGCTGAGGCAGGAGATTCACTTGAACCTGGGAGGAGGAGGTTGCAGTGAGCTGAGATTATGCATTCCTGCCTGAGCTAGACTCTGTCCCCCCCGCAAAAAAAAAAAAAAAGAGAGAGAGAGAGAGATGGGATACAAATTCACCACAATCTCAGCTCCCAAGGGCTGAGCTCACATGCATGTCACAGCCTGGGTTTAGAGGGTTCCTCTGTAGCTCAGACACACTCCACAACTTCCCACTGCATTTGTTCACGAGCTTGGCCAGCCTGGCTGGTTAAGGAGATGAGGTATATTCTGTTCCATCCATGAACCCACATGCACGACAATCCCATACACCCCATGTGGGCCCCCACCTCCCCACCCCCAGCCATCACTGGCATGTTTCAGAAGCCTGTGGAGTTCCCCACCTGCTCCCTCCTGTTCCCATGGGACCTCCAAGCAGCCGTCCAGAGTGCAGGATACATCATTGGCACCAAGGGTCTTTTTCAGTTCTGAAATGAGATGAACTCTTGGACACACCTGGGGAATCCCAGGCATCAAGGGGCTTCCGTGCATTTTCCCAGAGAGACTATGAATGTCTCAAGCAGAAATCCTAAACAGGTGGCTCACATAGACCCTCTCTTCAAGCCCGCACCCATGGCAGACATTGCTAACCGATCCCTGCACCCTTCACCAAGCCTGGACACTGCCAGTCCCACCTCCCAACATGCTGCTCTAGGCAGACATCACAAATCAGTATCAGGATGGACCCACTTAAGGACACATAAAATCTCTAGGAAGAGAAACTCGTTGAGGTCACCTGTTTCTGGATTTAATTCTGCAGTCAGAAAATAGGTTTCTTTTTCCTATTTAAAACTTCTACTATTTTAAGGAAGCTCTGTTTTTCTTGTTTGGATGCTCATAGACACATCCTCTCCCTCATTCCCTGGCTCCCAAGAACCCACCATCTATAGGGGTGTCTCCCAACTCTCTGACCTCATCTTTTTTTTTTTTTGTTCGAGATGGAGTCTCGCTGTGTCGCGCAGGTTGGAGTGCAGTGGCGCAATCTCAGCTCACTGCAAGCTCCGCCTCCTGGGTTCATGCCATTCTCCTGCCTCAGCCTGCCGAGTAGCTGGGACTACAGGTGCCCTCCACCACGCCCAGCTAATTTTTTGTATTTTTAGTAGAGACGGAGTTTCACTGTGTTAGCCAGGATGGTCTTGATCTCCTAACCTCATAATCCGCCCACCTTGGCCTCCCAAAGTGCTGGGATTACAGGCATGAGCTACCGCGCCTGGCTGATCTCACCTATTTAAATTTTTTTTTTTTTTTTTTTTTGAGACAGAGTCTAGCTCTGTTGCCCAGGCTGGAGTGCAGTGGTGCGATCTTGGCTCACTGCAACCTCTGCCTCCCAGGTTCATGCAATTCTCCTGCCTCAGCCTCCCGAGTAGCTAGGACTACAGGCATGCGCCACCACACCCAGCTAATTTTTGTATTTATAGTAGAGACAGGGTCTCACCATGTTGGCCAAGCTGGTCTCAAACTCCTGACCTCCAGTGATCCACCTGCCTCGACCTCCCAAAGTGCTGGGATTACGGGCGTAAGCCACCGTGCCCAGCTGCTGACCTCACCTTCTATGTCTGTTCTTCCTCTTTCCTTCAAATGAGGGCTCTTTGAGATTCCCTTCTGTTCTCCACACACCTTCCCTGGCTTGTGGCCCCCTCACCTTCACTTAGTGACACCTGAAGCAAAACACCTCTGACACCTCCAGCTCCCACCTCTACCTCCCTCCTAGTCTCTGTCCCTTTGGCTGCTGCCCCTGCTCTGGCCTGTCGTTTGTTCCAAGAACCAGGGCCTCAGCCTCCTCCCTCACTTCCAGTCTGGCTTCTGTTGACCTCTGCTCACACACCCTCCATGGCTCCCGATTGCCTGCACAATAAATCTAAATTCCTCTGCCTATCATTCAAGGCCCTGCACGTCTTCCAGCAGCCTCCAGCCTCCCACTCCGTGCCCTTGTGCTGGCTGCATGGATGCTGACATTCCCTGAATCCCCACTGCATCCCGTTCACCCCCCAATCAGTGCATACATCTCAGTGATCATGGGCATTAAGTAATTCATGAATGAACTCAGGAAGCAGGAGGGAGAAAGATGTTTCTGGAGCTCCTTCCCAGCTCAGGAGCTCCTAAGAGGCCAACTCCAACTCTGTAAACCTCTAGGGCCTCAATGCCAGCCCAGAGAAAAACAGGGAGTGGTTGTTAAATGAATAAATTTAAATGTCTATCCGTAGTTTGTTGGTTTTAAGATGGAGTCTCTCACGCTGGTAATCCCAGCACTTTGAGAGGCTGAGGCAGGCAGATCACGAGGTCAGGAGTTCGAGACCAGCCCAGCCAACATAGTGAAACCCCATCTCTGCTAAAAATACAAAAATTAGCCAGGTGTGGTGGCATGCACCTGTAGTCCCAGCTACTCGGAGGCTGAGGCAGGAGAATGGCTTGAACCCAGGAGGTAGAGGTTGCAGTGAACC